GGCCTCACTTGCTCTCTCTGAGATTGGAGGTGGGGAAGGCGCAGAAAACAAGACCATCATCATTATCAGCCTGTTTTCTTTTATTCTTTTTTTTCAACAAGTACATACATTTTCTGAGTGCCAACAACCTGCAAAGCGCAGCAGGAAATGAAACAGAGTTTTGGTTCCCATGGAGATTTGCTCACACTAAGTAGTAGGTCCCATGTCAGAGGGCATGACAGATTTTACAGGTTAAGAAGAAGGATAAAGAGCGGGAGGGGAACAAGCTACTCTGCGTCAGGTGTGCAGGGAAGGGGCCTCTAATAAGATGAGCTGTGAGCAAAGACTGGAAGGAAGTGATGGAATGAGTCTTGAGGGGGAATGAAGCATCTCATCCCGGGAAGGACAGAGGCCACCAGGCAGGGGTTGGCCTCAGGTGAGAAGCAGCAGGGGCTGGAGGGACTGGAGCAGAGAGAGGCAGGAGGGAGTGTCCAGGAGAGGATTGGGTAGCGGGAGGGCTCACCTGGGGTGGGGGCATCACAGAGACCATGCCAGGGAGCTGAGCTATTATTCAGTGTGAGCTGGACAGCCATTGGAGGTTTTTTGAAGATCGGTCTTTCTCAGATACTTGAAAAATCCGAGTGTATGAAGTCAGGAAAATGGGGCACAGTGCTTCCCTCACTTCTTAGAGAGAGTATGAGCTGCTATAGTCAGGCCTGAACTGTCAGAACTCTAATTCACCCATGTGGAGGGTGAAACAGAAACCATGGTTTTGCACAGATAACAAAACTGGCAAGGATGTGGAGAAAAGGGAACCCTGATACACTGTTGGTGGGAATGTAAATTGGTGCAGCCACTGTGGAAGACAGTGAAGGGTGCTCAAAAGACTGAAAGTAGAACCATATAATCAGCAGTTCCACTCCTGGGAATATATGCAAAGAAAACGAAAATGCTAATTAAAAAGATGCATATGCCCCAATGTTCACAGCAGAGTTATTTACAATAACCAAGATATGGAAGCAACCTTGTTGAAGTGTCTGTCAACAGAGGAATGGATAAAGAAGATGTGGTATATCTCTACAATGGATTATTACTCAGCCATAAAAAAGAATGAAATTCTGCCATTTACAGTAGTGTAGATGGACCTAGAGGATATTATGCTTAGTGTAATAAGTCAGACAGAGAAAGACAAATACAGTATGGTATCACTTATATGCGGAATCTAAAAAATAAAACAAATGAATATAACAAAACAGAAACAGACTCACAGAAATAGAGGATAAACTAGTGGTTACCAGTGTGTGGAGGGGGGGCAGGACAGGAGTAGGGGATTAAGAGATAGACACTACTACGTAGGAAAGAAATAAGCAACAAGAATATATTGCACAGCACAGGGGAATCTAGCCATTATGTTGTAATAACTTTAAATGGAGCATAATCTTTAAACATATCAAATCACTGTGTTGTACAGCTGAAACTGATACAATAATGTACATCAACTATACTTCAATTACAGAAGGGGGGAAGGGGGAGAAATCACGGTTTTGCTTGACCTCAGTGTAAAAATCACACCTGCTTTTTCCGTCAGGATAAAAGTGAGTAGCCATGAGCCATTTACTCAAGTGGCAACAGTACTCCTCATGGACACCCGGCTCCTACATCCAGTGGTCTGTGCCCTGCTAAATCTCTTCCCCAGAAAGATTTTGGTTATGCCGCAGCTGTGAGCGAGACACCCCAGCATTGCTGCTGCTGCTGCTGCGCAGATCAGTGTGAGCTTTACCTTTTAACCTGTGTTTTTTTGCGTTGGAACGAAAATCGGAGGGTTTTGCGCTGTGGGAACCGTGGGCTTGATTAATGGGCCAAAGTTACAGGAAGTGAGTGGTTTTGGCTCCTTATGAGGAGTACCTTCCTGAAAGTGAGGATGATGGAGAACTGGGGTGGGCTCTGCCATAAAGGGACCCTCCTGCCTCGGATGTCCTCAGGCAGGTGAGCCCAGCTCTGGAATGTTCCTGAAAGGACTCCTGCTTTGTGAGGCACGCTGGACTCGAGTGACCTCTCCGATTCATTCCAGCACAGAACACTTCTGAGCGTATGAAAAAGTGTCCAGTGAATGTGTTCTGCAAACAGACAGACACTCTATAAACATGAGGCACATAGTTTTAAAGATGAAGAGTACGGTACTTGTTCTGGGAGAGCGGCGGCTGGAGCTTGGTGCCCCGACAGCATACCTTCCATGCTTAGTGGCCTGCAGTTTGTTCCCCTTGGCCCAGGACACAGTTATCTGCATTATGTGTTAAAAATGCCCTCAGCCAAAGACCAAACAAATAGCCGAAGGCATTTTCCTCTCTGGGCCTCTGTATAGGAGGCAGAGCAAAGAACAAAGCTGTCGGGTTTGATTCTTGGCAGGAAGCCAAGCTGCCGCTTCAAAGCTCCAGGATTTACAGGGAAGAAAGAGGAGGGCTATTTAGCTGAGATCAAGTTAGAATTAAGGCAACAGAAAACTTAACACTAAAACTAAAGCATCCTCTGGGATCTATAAGGAAAGGGCAGAAACCACAGCGGGGTACGTTCCGGGCTCTCCGATGATTTTTTTGGTGCTTTAAAGGTACCCCAAGCAGAGATCACAGTGGCCTTGATTAACAGTCTAGGATCACACAGTGTTTGAGATGGACACACCGTCCTTTAGCGATCATTGAATCTCATCCCTCAGTTTACAGGTAACGGATCAGAGGCCTTGGAAATTGAAGACACTGCCAAACGGCACACAACTGGTTGTGGAAGTAGTGGGTCTAGAATCCAGGACTTCTGACAACTATTGTGTGTTTTAGTCCACTTGACCAGAGCAGCAAACAATGAGGAGTCCTGTTTCCTAAGATCCAGGGGGAGGCAGCCACAAAGACCATGTTCTGATTCAGCAGTGCCTTCAGTTTCCCTGAATGTGGCCTCGTTCTTGCGCCCAGGGTCGCCTGCGTCCTCCAGCATCACCGCCTGGAGTCCCTGGGTCCACCCCCAGGAGTCAGGGCTGAGACCTGGCAAGAGGTCTGCAGCGGCTGGCCTGCCCTCGGAGCCCGGTCAGACGTGAACGGGTCTGAACGGTCCTCGGGAGATTGGTGGTCAGGGTGCTTCTGAACCATCTGCATGATCTCAGCGTCGTGGGTGTCGTCTGGTTTCCTGTGCTGACAGGGCTTCCCTCCTCTTTGACCAAAGCCTGAACAGTTGAAGCTGTATATAAGTAACAGCACTCTTTTTACATAGAAGAGCGGCTCCCGCTGGCCCTCCACACCCAGTTAACTTTGTCCTTGGCAATCACCACCATTTAAGTGAGCCGTTGTCACTTGCTTCTGGAAGCCACGGTGGAGTGGGTGTGGGTGAGTGACGTAAAGGAAGGGGGGGCTTCTGCGTGTGTCTCCATGTGAACTAACGAGATGCTAATTGTTCTTTTGACCTTTCATTCATTCACTCACTCACTCATTCGTTCATTCATTTTCTTGTTTGTTTACATCCTGATTCTAGCCATAGAAAATAAAGTTTGACGAAACTTACGAACAAAGAGCACATATGCTGTAAATAAAATGTAAATGAAGTCAGGTCACTGAGAAGGAGGAAACAGATTCATGAATTGTTATATGAAATCTGTGATAAATACCGAATTTTACTCTGACCTTCCTGGCAAACAAAATACACATGTCCTAGTTACCAGAAAGGGGGAAAAGTTCCAATTTCTTCAAGAGAGACTAAGTGTTGCTATTCTGGGGCTCATGTCATTGCTTAACACTAAGCTCCCGGCCCAAGATATGCCCCTCCCTCCCTCTCTCTCCCCGGAAGTGTCCTTGCTCAGGCCACCTGGAGCAACCTCCCCCCCCAAAAAAAACACATGCTCTTAGAGCCATCACGAGCTCTGTTAATGTGTGTCAGGGTATGGCTTGAGGTGATGGGGTTTCATTTGGGTCTTGAAACTATGTTGTCGAGGGTGACTAGGATTTGCAGATTATGAAGCCAGAGGTAGGAATTTTAGGGAGGGTTAGAATCTAGTCCTGCTGTGGCTACCCACTCTCCACCAGTGTACCTTTCCTTCTCCCCAAAGAACCCCTTCTCTGGCCCTGTTTTGTATGTCAAGGTGCTTTTTTGAACGGGGCATCTAAAGAGAATAATTTGGCAGAGCACACCTTGAGGAATGTTGGCTCAGAGGATTAGTAGGTGGTATGACCTTGTATTTCACGTTACATACCTTGGCCCCTGGAAGTGGGGAATGGAGCTGGTGGTTATGTAGACCTACAGGGTTTAGGACCTAATATTATACACATCTAAGGTGAATACTGCTGAAGTCCCACCCTGAGCTCCTAAGCTCCATTCTGAAGTTGTACCAGGAATTTAGATTTCTTCCGGCAGAAGAAAGCATCAGTGTTGAGATTCCCATCCCCTTACATGCTATGAAAGCATGAATTAACTTCATCCTCCCAAGACTTGGGATTTGTCGGCGGAGACACCAGAACACTCTAGAGCTTGTGAGTATGCAAGAGTTATAGAAATGCAAGAAGAATTACAGAAATCTGATTTGTTGGACTTTTGAAATAGGTGGTGTGAGAAAGAAAACACTAGAAAAGTAGTCCTGGGATTCAGATGAGTTATTTGTGTGTCAACTGAAAGTTTGTTTTTCATGTAAGCATACGTATCCTCTACATGCATTGAAACATTCATAGAAGGCTGTGTTTTAGAATGCATCATAACTAAAGAAAGGAGTATTTCAAAGCAAGAAGCAGCCTTGGTGCTGCACAGTTGGTATGAGATAATGTGTCTGAATATCCTCATTTGGAAGACGAGGCACAGCGGCTCAGCTTCTGACCGTGGGCTGGCGTCGTTTGCCCTGTCCTAACAATGTTGGCTCCAATCCCATGGTTTGAAAAACTGGGGTTTGAGCCCTCAGGTGAACAGAATGAATGTGCTCAATTCTACTTGGGATGTTTTTCATAATTATTTTAAGCCATGACTTGATTCTTACTTGTGCTTATTCTTTTTAAAAGTATTAGAAAGGAAGATTTCTACAAGACAAAGTAGAGAGGAGCTGATAAGAAGGGGAGTTCTTAAGGAATTGCCTGATCAAGGTGAGGAAATTAATCATACGTTTCAAATAATGTGATCCTTCATTCTTTGGCCTTTCTTTCCTTTTCTTTTGAAATTTAAGATGATCATGGTCTTTGGGAGATTAAACAGTGGGTACCACACTCCGAGCATCTTGCTTTAATTCGGGAAGCCTCTGTGTGCTACAGAGAATCTAAAGTATTCTAGGGAAGAAATTCAATGGCCTTCTGGGTGAGTCCCTCACCATATGTTACCCTAAACCGAAAGCTTTACAAAGCTACTCTGGCTGGAGATACAGATAAGATACAGACGCTTACGTGACTTCCCTTTTCTTGAGCTTCAGTCTTTCTGTACAAGCAAACTCAGTTGTTTGAGTAAATTCAGTTTTAGCTCAGCTCATGCCTTTTGGCTTCTTACGTCCATCAGTAAAAGAAGAGAGAGAGAAAAGAGATGGTAAACATGCCTCTTGTCCTTTATAGTCTAGAATACACGTGTGCAAATGTGCAGGCAACAAGGCACGAGTGAGCAAATTAAATTAACCTGCGTTACGCGTTCTCTCAAGTCGTTTTCCCAGCATTGTTCTCTTTTCGTTTCTTTGGGTCTGCTTGTTTCTCACCTTTTCACTAACAATGATTATTTCTGACTGTTTTTCCCTCCTTCTAACTGTCCCTTTCCTCCTCTGTCCTCCTCCCAAGGGGGAATTCTTGCTCAAAAAGAAAAGGATTAGATGGAAACTGAGTTAGATTCTCAAAAGAAGATACCAAGATTGTTTTTTTTCCCTCCAAATAAATAACACCAAATAACTTTCATTGCTTCCACCACTATAAAACTAAAGGAAATTTTTGTTGCAACGCTGTAGATTTACCTCTTGCCTTCTCCCACTCCACCCCCCTAAACATTTACTGGGGTAAGATATTATTATTGTACTTTTATGGGCACAAAGAAAATGCTATTAATTTGGAATTGAAATATGAATGCTTCTCTTTTCCTGATATATGTTTCTTGCAAAGAGCTTAACGTCTTTTGGCATTTACTACTTATAAATCCAAATGACACACTTTTTCCAACATTAGATTAATTCTAGAGTGGAGCTAGGAGATGCTTTACTGTTGTACTCTTGCTTCAAAGAATGTAAAGTCTGGAGTGAATAATGCCACTTTTCTTGAGCCCTCGCAATTTTAGGTGTTTTACTTCAGTTTCTGGCCAATTATACTCTTCTCACTCCATTTTATGAATGAACGTTAAGTATTCCCTAATTTTCTATTACTTTGATGCTATTCATTTTCTACCTGAAACTTTTAGAAATAAAAAATGTACATCTTCAGCATTTTTGCACTTGAAGTTGGACTTGCAGTATCAAAGCTTGCCCCCTCTCAAATCTCACTGGAGGTAGCAGAGAAATTATGTGTCCACTGAAAATTCAGCACCGGGCAATCACCTTTATGGGGTGATATCCTTTATTTGGAAACATTTTAAAGAAAGAAAAAAATGGAAAAACTTATGATTGAAATTGTTAATGAGTCTAAAGATAGAGACTAAAGACCGCTTTTGTAGCCCATTAAAAGTGTAGCTAGAAAGGTATTTCACTTGTTCTAAAAACAAGTGGCAGTGGTCAATTTTAAAAAATATTTAGAATTGCTTGATTTTTATTTTGCCTAATCCGTTAAACTATTTGCAAGATGAATTACAATCTCATGTACTTACCTTCTGGAAATCTTGACTCTATTTGGTCTTTTTTATTTGATGTTTGCAGACTGAACATTAAAAGTTTTAAAACATAAAATAACCACCTTAAGCGTAGAGGTGTAGGCTTAGTGTTTGGGAAGTCATCAGTTACTGAGTTTTTCTTTGCACTTTTTGCATGATCCCTATATAGAACTATAGAAATTACGTAATATTTAGAAGTTCTCTTTGAGGCTTATTGTAAATAGAGTCCTTCCCCTCTTTCAGCCAAGAAAGAGAAAATAGTTTTCTGTCATTCTTCCAAAAACAATTATCTTGAGAATTTCGGTCTGTTTTCAGCTCTAGACAGAGACTGGAAGCCGCTGTGCTTGGTGACAACCTCCTCTCTTCTGCCAGCAGAGGTTCATTCTTCACCCTGATGTGCTTGACCTTGCCTGAGCTCTTGACAGTGCTTGTCAGTTATGCCCTTTGTTCAGTGGAGCAGACAGGCTTGTAAAATCGCACCAGCTACCCTGGGTTTGACCTCGTCCCATCCCACTCCACAGCTTCACTCCCAGCTGTTATTATCCCTTTTAGATGAGCTTTTTCACACCAAGCCCTAATTTTAATGTGAAAATTTTGTGATTTGTCTTCTCTCCTGAGAAGTCCTTGGTCTAGTCCAAGTTTAGTCCTTAGCTTCTGGTTCTTTCCTTCTGCCTTCTGCCTTCTCCCTTAACCTTGACATAAAGGCATGTAAATGTTTTCGCCTGCCCACCAGCCTCCTTTCTTTTTCTCCCGTGGTGTCCTTTTTAACCTTCTAATGAGTCACTTACCTTTTGTTCTTAAGTGATTTTCTTCTTCTCTCTGTTAACTCCATCCCCAGTATAGCTGTTTACCAGAAAGGCGGAAACCCCTCAAACACGCTCATGCTCCTGATTTCCGTGTGCTTTATCTCTTGGTTTACTTTAAGCCTAGGACTCTTTTCGGAGTTTTCTCCTTTCCTTGCATACAAATGCTCCGATAAGATTTGGAGTGGGCGTCTTCCAGTAACCTGCAGTCCGGCTCAACGTCTTGTCTTGTCTTCCTTTGCTGAGCTTATGTTTTACTTACATACATAAACTATATCAAGGACTTACACTTATTTTAATTCTAAAATAATACATAAAACCAGAAAACCTTTTCAATACACACACCAATTAATTATTAACTCCAGTTCTCTTCTGTTCTTGAATTCCGTATCTATTACAAACATGCCTCCTTTTTCTACAGTTATTTCCTATACTTCAGCTTTGTTTCATATCTCAAAGTACCTTTCCACATTGTTGACTGCTTCTCTCTGTCATGTAATAATCCAATTTCTTCTTGTGCCACAATTATTTAATTTTCTCTCTAGCTTTTTGTTCTGAAATTTTAAAAATTAGTTATTTAATCTATTAACGAATTTTTAATGTAATAATGGTTAAAATAGAATTGTTTTGTTACCATGTTTTATTACCATCTAAAGTCAGAGAAAACAAAGATAAATTTATATGTGAGTTACCTAAAAACTGAGGATTTTTATGTGAAGAAGCGGTTTTCTGTTTTGTCTGAAATTTTCCATTCTTAGATTACTTTCTATTATTTTTTTAATCTAATACCTGGACATTGTATTGTGTCTCCTCTCCTTTTTTATAGTAAATTTCTTGGGATCCAGTAATAAGAAATAAGAATCTTTTGGTTTCTTTTTTGTTTGTCGCATGATCTTTAAAAAGTCATTACCTTAATTTTCCTGAAATAGTTAAGATTTACTTGCAATGGCATTGCCTTCAGTTATTGTCTATTTTAGTTTTATGCAGGAATCAGACTATAGGTACTTGGAAGTTACATGACTAAGGAACAATTTTTTCATTTTAAGCATAATGTAAATCCATGATATGTATTTTAGTTATTTAAAATGCCATGCTTATTTTTGTCAAGAAGGCCAATGGATTTTATTGTCGAGCCAAAGCAATTCAATCATATCTAATGAAAAATTGGAAGATGGTCTCTTTTTTAGATTGATTGCCAAAATAAGATCAATCAAAAATTGCATAAAATCAGCTCTAATCATGCATTTTTTCAAGTTTGTTAAGTAAAAACTTCATTAATTTCTTCTTTTACAAAGCCTCTTAAAGTTTTCCTGGTATGAACTAGGGTTAAATTATCAATCATCACTGAATTAAGAGTTTTTGCAAAATCTCTTTCACTTTAGAAACTCCTAGGGATTATAAACATTCAGAAGTGTTAAATTGGTTATTTGTGATTTAGATAACATTAAATTTTAACTTCAGTTGTGGTTTCTTAAAAATTCCTCCGTACTTATTTTTTTAACATTTTTTTCCCTAATGTTTTCAAATTATTATGAGCCCGACTTAAAGATTTTTTTGTCAGTTACGTGTTTCAGTTCCCTGAGTACATTTTAAGATTTCTATAAATAAGAAGATGAAAATACAATCTACTTATTACCATCTTTCCCTGAAAAAGAGTAGCAGTTATATTACTGTGTAAAGTTAACATCTCATGGATGTAATATTGTGGAGACAGTGGTGCTTGGAAATGTTCATATTCTCCCACTGATTGTTTGTATGTGTAACTGCATTTCATGTTATTTGTGTATTTGCATTCACCTTGTGTGTTTGGTGCTTGTTAAAACGTTTATTCCATTTTTCAGATTCCTCCTTTTACCGTTCAGTTTCTGAATGACAAAGAGGCTCCTAAGTATTGACTTCAGCCAAAACTAAGCCAAAGAAGAGAGGGACTCAGCTGCCCAGGGGTGTTTTGTAATTAGCTTCACCATTCTTACTCCCTTGAGATGACTTCTGGATACCCCCTCCATAGCTGCTTCCCCCAGGACTAAGAATTTTCTAGCTCTTTCGTTTGAATGAATTATTCAGTTAAACATGGGGAAACATTGCAGGATGTATTTGGCTCCCAGGACTGAAACCTAAACCTGAACCCTACAGTCCTAGTAACTGGAAAACTGGGTTTTAAGAAAGCCATCAAGTTAGACATCTAGGTGTTTCTCTCCCCATTTTTAGATGGAGATGTAACAGTTAACTTTGAAAATTCAAACGGGCACATGATACCCATCGGAGAGGAATCTACCCAAGAGGAAAATGTAGTAAAATCTGAAGAAGGTAATGGCTCTGTAGCCGAAAAACCACCACCTCTGGAGGAAAAGGCAGAAGATAAGAAAGGTAAAATCAAGCGAAACCCCATATTCTTTTACTTCAATACAGCTCAATGTCGAGAATCAGGTTGTAGGCTCCAAACAGTTACCCTAAGACCAGTGGAGAGAGAGGGGTTTTGCAAACACAAAGAGGAGAGAAATGAGAACTAGCCAAGAGAAATTGGATGATTTCCTCAGATAGATACATCCATTGTATAAGCACATCATTTAATTTTTCAGTAAAGGGGGCTAATTAGCAGAGAGCATCAGAATGGGCGGCCTCTTCAATCGTTTAAGATGTCTGGGAATGTTATCCTTTCCTCATGACCTTTTTCTCAAGTCTCTTCTTTAAAAAAAAAAAGCCAACAGTCTGAACATCTTTCTCTGCTGGTTAGTTTCAAATTTAGCAGCTCAGTTTGGAGGAATATCAAAACAAGATGGCTCTTTCAGCCCAACATGGCCTCTTTAGAAGTGGGTGGCATCCACACACCCAAAACTGTGGTTCTGGTCCAGGTTCAGACATTTCTGAGAGAGACCCAGGAATAGTTCCCAGTAATGCCAGGAATTTTGGTTGCTGTAGTGGCCATAGCTTCTGCTCCATGATTTGTCTGTGCAGTTGGAAATTTCAGAATATGCCAGAGGCAGTTATGCCATTCCCTGAAGGCTTCTTTAGAGACTTCAGTTTCTAGAGTGAAATACCATGGTAGATTGTGTAACTGCAAAATACATGTCTATCAAGGACCCCTAGAATGTTAACAAGCTCTTGGTCACTGATTGGTTACATCTCCTGTTGATTATACCACTGCTGTCATGGTTGCAGGAACCCACAAGTCTCATACTTATGCAAACCTGAACTGAAACTCCCGTGAGGGGAGGCTTTGTTGGGAGAGTCTAGATGATTTCATGCAGCATAGAAATGAATCCTCAGGACATAGGCTATTTCTTGCTCTATGATGTCTGCCTTGGAGCTGGATGGCAAAAATTTGTTAAACCTAGTTTGGGTTCTCTGGGCATTTTGAGAACTCTTAGAAACTGCTGGAAGCAAACTTCTCTTCCTCTGTTCTTGACCCAAATCCTCCAAAGGTAAAGGGAACAAAAGAACATTTGACAGACGTAGCTTAAAATCATCTTCTCTGGAAGTCCATAACCCCTGATTATTTGCATATAAATTAGCCTTTAAAAATTTTAGAAGCCTCTATTAATAGTCCGTTGGAAATTTATTCTTTTGCTTTATTCAATATTAAGTGTAGCATTCATGGGGCTTTACTAAGTCTTTCCATTGAAGGATTCTGATTATGCTTAAGAATACTGATTATGAGAAATTAACTAACATTTTTAATGATATTTCTGGAACATAAAAAGAAAACAAACCTAAATAGATTTTAAGAGGATTCGGTTGAAAGTATTAATGCAGTGATATCTTTTTATTTTATTTTTTAGTCCCACTGTCCTGTCTCACCAAATTGTTACATTTCAGATCCATCTGTGGTTTGTCCCTGGTACAGCCTTTTCACATTCAAGAATCACATCCTTCATTATGGAACAGTGCCATCTCTAGTGCTTGCGTGGTCCTTGGGGAATGTCAATCAGTGGTCTGGACAGACCTCAAAGGAAGTGTTTCCCTTATCAGCCTAATAAAAAGTTGCTGACAGTTTTATGTTAATTAAACCGGCAAGCCTTGATGTTCCAAAAAGATGGCAGACTTCATAAGTTCATGGATGTTTGAGAGATGTTTTTGTTTTCTTATTCTTTACTTGGGAGGATTAGTACATTCAGTTCTTTTCTAAGGTCCGAGATAGCATCTTGCTTGGCTGGTCTGTACATGAGGATATGGAGGGGCTGGACACGGTGCCACTCCACTAAGACAGAGTAGCCTCCCTCTTGCTGTGTGGACGGTGCGCCCGCCAGGAGCCCCGCTGAGTGAGGGGAAGCGTTCCGTGTGGAAGCCGCTTCCTGACAGTAGTAAGAATGTCACTCCTAACTAACATCACATAGTGTTACGTTAAACACAAAATCCCTTATAGACGAACTATTCATTTCTCTGGAAAGACAATGTTTAATTCTAAAAAAACCCCCAAAACAAAAAAACCTATGAGTCATTTTATCTCTGCTCCTCTACTGCTGTCACTTCTTGTTCGAGCTCACTGCCATGCACATCCACCCTCCCCTGTTCTCAGTTCACCCTTTGTTTTGGAGTGTGACACTCTCCTTCCCTTTGCATTAAGCCAGGCTACCCAAGCGCATTCTTTCGTCTAATTGATTATATTTGCAAAACCACATCCCGTGCCATCCCAGATGCTTGTGTCCCTTTCTAAGACAGCATGTCAGTACTTGAATGTTCGAAACATCTGTGTCAAGACAAAACAAATGGCAAGTGGCCTCCACGCTGCTCTGTGGGTAGTTACCACCTGGGGCTCGTGGCTGGTCCTGGGGCTCCTGAAGGCACCTGATTCCACAGCTGGAGGTGGTTTGGGCCTCTTCTGCCTAACGCTGGAGACTTTTCCCTGAAGGCCTTCAGGTCTCTTAGTCTCCCATTATTCTTTTTCAATAAATGCCCTTAAATATATGAGGCAGAAAAACTGACCTAAAATCTGTTTAAAATAGCTTGGTATTAAATATGAGAAATCTGAAAAGTAATAGATATTTTATCTCGAGTCATTGTAGAGAACTTTCCATGAAGTAAGAAGTCACTTACATGCATTTGTTCCCCGCATCAGCATGAAGGTCTACCATGAGTAAGACTCCACAGGGGCCAGGTCAGGAGTGCGCTGTGCATGAGAAACGGCCTTTGCCTTCAAGTGAATCATAGCCCACGATGAGACCAGCATGCAAAAGGGCAGTTGTAATACAAGATGCAAAGTGCTTTGGCAGGCCCAAGGACAGCAAGCCAGGGAGCTTGCAAAGGGGACCAGGAAGGTTTGTAGAGGAAGAAGTTTCCAAACTGAGACTTGGAGGAGACAAGCAGGAGGCAGTCAGATGAAGGAGAGGCATGGGGGCAGAAGTGTATTCAAGACAAGGTAAAGGCCTCCTGCAGGTCTCAAATATGCTGGACTCAGCTCTCCATGTGGGGGGAGGAGGCAAACCCAAAAGTGTAGTCAACAGCTACCCTCCACATTGTTGTGAGACTGAGTAGCCTCGTCAAGCCAGAGTGCAGAGGCAGCCCTTTCTTAACCTCCTCTTGAAAAGCTAATACTCCTCTACGCCATCAGTTTATGCCATGTCTTCAGATCGTGTGCTAATAGTAAAAACTACCTCTTGACTTAATTCATTATTTCTGAGATACAAGAGTTCGTTTCCTACTAACATGTGTTAATAACTATCAACCAATCAGTCACTATCACTGAAGAGCCGTAATGTTTAGAGCACTGTGTTTGATGGGATATAAAATTTCGGATCAAAGGAGTTTATAATTTGGTCAGAAAAGCATACTGTTTATGCATGCGTGCGCATGTGCACACGTGCACACGTGCACTCACACACACCCCCGAGGAATCACTGCAGAGTAAACACAAACATTGGCCATATGGCAAACACACCCAGATAATTGGTAGAGTTTGCAGAGGAAGAAGGAGTGGACCAGGCTTTTCCAAGAGCAGCTGGAAGTTTACATGCGGAGGGCGCATTCTCACCCCCGTCGGGATTGTCATTCCCAACTATCACGGGGCAAACCAGCTTCTTCCCAAACCCGGAAGCTGGATTTGGGGGGGAACAACTTTAGAATTTAAAAATCTTAGGCAGACAGAAAAAGAAACCCCTCAATAATATGCTGTGAAGACGGAGGAGAAGACATGTGAGGGTTTGTAGCATTAAAGAGAATTAAGATACCAAGTGGTGCAGATCAGTCTGACTGCCTCTCGTCATGGACAGTGTCACTGGGCTGGTTCTCCATGCATGCGCCAAAGGTTCAAAGATGTATTTAAAGAGCAAGCCTCTACCCTAAGTCAAAAGACTAGCAAGTCAATGTGTATTTATACGTTTTACACTAAAGTAAAATGTTTTCCATGTCTGTCAACTTGTGTTGCTCTCAACCCTCATTGTCTTTTGTGGTGTAGTAGCTGTCTGGTTCGGACCAGCTGGGCTGAGACAGCCACTACTGTAGTACAGATGATAAGTCGCTTAGCTGAGGGGACAAGGGTTATAAGCAGAGAGGCAAACATACAAGTAGCCCTTGATAAATGTTGACTAAATAGCTCAGACAGTGAGTACAGTCAAGTTCAGATGCAGGAGGGGTCCATTTGGGCTGCAGTGACTGGGGTGGGTTTCATGGTTGTGGGAAGGTAAAAGGAAAGTTTCATTCATTACCTACTGTAATTTAAATCATTTGTATGATAGTTACATATGTGGCTTGATGGGTATATAGTAAAAGAAAAAAGAGGTGTGGGGAGTCCTCACTTCACATGCACTCGGATGAGAAATGAAACAAAAGAAATAATAATAAAATGTGATGCATCCACTTTTAAAACCTTTTCTTGGTCATTCAATAATGGAAGAACATACTCAGTAAAGTCTCAATCTTGTCTTGACGCTGTCTTACTTTTTTTTTTAATTGTGCTCCATTTTTAAAGAAATGCTGCTTAGCTCTTTGGACCAGAACTGTATTTTAATTTTAATCAGTCACTAATTAAAAAAATAAGGATACGAATATATGAACGTTCAGCATCTCCACTTTTTTTTTTTTAATGAGAGACCAATACTCCTCTAGTTATTCAAAATCTTGTGCGAGGCTTTTGTTCTTAGGTATGATTTTTTTTTAATGAAGTTTAACCTTTATGTTTTCAAACTCATTACTTGTGTTTACATTACAAAACGAATTTGGTATTTTGCGGGGATTCTGCACCCTCCAGTACCTACAGTTGTGACACTGAAAAGGTCGGAGGAAGTTATTGTAAAACAGGAAGCTGTGCTGGTGCATTGGGAGAGCTTAAGAAAATTTTGAAAGAATAGAACATAGTTTATCCTTCAGTGCATTGTGCTTCCTGTACCAGATTCTACAAAGTCTCCCTTGGCTTAGAAAGCAGTTGATTTTTGAGCACAGTGAGGCAGAAACAGAACACAGATCCCTTGCAGGTTCATGGGCATGAGCTCTCCTGAGCGAGCCCCTCAGCGGAGGGTACGAGGTCACTGTGAGTCTAGTCATTTCTGTGCTGTCGGCCCTCACCCCACGATGGAGTGTGTGACACACTGCTCTGCCACTCTCGGGGCCCTTCAATTTTGTAAAAAGTTTAGCACTCCTACCCACATCATCATCCAGCACCCATCTGTTTAAGGCTGGTGTCAGCCCCCAACCGTCGACATTGACACATCCTCAGCTTAACTCATCACAGTCACTTGTGCAACCCTGTTTTATCACAAGGGTGATTAGTGACCTGGAGAACACACCCTAGTTTGGCTTTCAGCCTTTGATCTTCTTTACCCCAAACCCCGCTGTCTCTGGTACAGAACCTCACTGGTTCCCAAGGGCCAAGCAGCCAGACATGTGTATCACTGTCACTGTGTGTCTCGCTCCCTCTGTTTCTATGCTGTGTGTCTGTCTCAGTCTGCTTCTGTTCACTTTCTCATTTGTAGAGATCACTGAAAACCACTCTGAAACACCGGCAGCTCCTGCTCCACCTCCTCCAGCTCTTCCTAAGCCTAAATCCAAACCTAAGCCCCAAAAAACACCAGTGCCTCCAAAAGGGGCCGCTGCTGGGGCCAGCCCCAAGGGTGACGAAGTGCCTCCTATTAAAAAAAATACCAAGGCTCCTGGTAAGCAGGCCCCCATCCCTCCACCCAAGCCAACAAGCCGAAACGCACCCCGAGAGGCTGGTGAGTATGCCCTCTGTGGGGTTGAGTCTAGGGTCCTTGGCTCTGGGGTGGGGCAGTTGCTTTTCCTAGGAACGATGGAGTCTGGCATCTTAGGATGTAACACCAGTGGATTCAGCTTTGACACAGAGAAAGCCCAGGAAATTCCTCTGTGGCTATCTCTACTGAAGAAAAGTCAACCAGTTGATCCATTCACCTCATTAAGTTTAGGGTGAATAGACTTTTTTCATCCTGAGTATCCACTGTCTCCCTAGACCCATGGAAGGGTCCGGGCAGTCGTCTGCCTGATGAACAATGACATTGTTTAGACATCAGCTGGCCTGCATATATGAGTTTACAGGTGGCTGTTTGGCTTGGGTTTTCTTTCAAGACATCTGTAGTTTTCCCATAAAAACATGGTGCTTACGTCTTTGACATATTTGCTGGAGCTTAATGTCTTAAATGTTATAGTTGTTCCTCTACTGACAAATGACAGTGGGTTCCCATCACTCAGTGCAGCTCTGCCCCACCGCTCTCCACTGGAGTCACAACCGCTCAGCGGCGCTGAAAGTTACATGCCCAGTGCCCCTTTCCGACCCCAGCGGACTTCAGTGTGTTACAAGGAAAAGCACGTAGTGGTGTGGTCCCAAGCTGCTACTGCCGATCACCAGGGGATATTTAGGGGTTTCATAACTTCATGTCAGTGCATCCAGCTTTCCTTTCACATCAGGTCTGCTTAATGCAAAGTGGAGCCCCCGTTCTAGTGAAGTGAAATCAAGAAGCCTACCGTGTCATCCAGCTTTTAAAAGGACATTAATCCAAGTACATACGCTGAGTGGCTTTTTCCCATTAGCACATGCATGAAAGTCCTCCTGTATTTTATAGCAGACATCATTTTCCTTAAAATCAGCAGCAACTTTCTCGAAACCAGCTACCAGGCTATGCCTTGGTATTGCTCTTTTTCTCCTCTTAATTTATACTGATAATGCTCAAATTCAGAGAATGGCTTAGGTGACAATATAACAGAATTCCGATGCAAATAGATGTCTCTCTCCCGGGGTTCCACTCTCCTGCCATTGGCCTTGCTTGTCTGGTCTCTTCTGATAAGCTCTAAAATGAAAGTCTCAGATTGCTGTGGGAACAGTGCCCAAGGGCCATTTTCTCTGGGACCGACTGCCATCCATCACACGTCAGCGTCTGTCCTTTGGTGTCTGTGTGTGTTTCCCAGACTGCCTAGCATACCCTCAGAGCAGAGACGATTCACTTCTTGAAGAAAATCCCCAAGATCTGCCCGTGTCCTTGTGAGTTAAGACCCTGCCTCGCACAAGCTTTCCCACTTCTCCATGCCCTACGTGGTCCAGCTCATAATTGACTTGGCCTGTACTCTCTCATTCTCTCAGGAGAAAGCTGGTGATTAACGCCAGGGCAGGGCACAGCTGTCGTGAGAGATTTTGAGGCATTTCTAGATATTTTACTTGAACACTTATTTATCAACTCATGATGTTCGTAAGAGAAAAGTAGAGTCATGTTATCCATTGTATTAAACGAAGCCCAACTGGCCCTTAGTGTGAAGAGTGTGAATAAGAAGATTGCTGTTCTTAGGGTGATCCCAGAGAAATGGGCACTGCCTTGAAGTCTACCCGCAAGCCCAGCGTGCAAGGATCCTTTTATTCAAGGTTGATAACACTCCTTGAGAGTCTTATTCATGTTCCTTTTGTAACCATTTAGAACTTTCTACATGGTAACTTTGTTTTAGTTGAATAATGTTGACCTTCTGGAAAAGTTACTTAAAATGCAGCTCCTGAGTTTCAGTCGGATGTTTGAAACTCTTTAAAAAAACTGTTAGTTCAGATTTGTTCTCGATCACTAAGTTAGTATAGACCTCCAGATCACCAGATATTGGTTGCCCTTTCCTAGAGAAGTAAGTAACATCTCGTATTTTTTTCTTTCTCGTTTCGCACTTGTTAACAACAAAAGTACTTAACTGAGGAGAGGTAGCATTTCTTTTAAGTCTTGACCATAATTTAAGGTAACAGAAGCAACATTTCAGCAAAATCCTCATTTTAGAAGATACTTAAGAGAAATACAATAACATGTCTTGAATTTGCACTCTAGACATTTTTTTTAAATTGTCTTTTTCCTTAAGCCTGGCTGAGGTTAACTTTGCTGTTAGAAAAGAAAGTTTTCTTTAAAATATATATATATATTTTTATAAATTCTTATATATATATGTATATAAGAACTGGTATGTGGAAAAGATTTTGTTCAACTTACCTAAGAAATAATTGAACACGTTTAGACAGCAAGTCCTTAGCCTTTAGCACCTTGATCATAAAGGGTAAATTTGGAATGCACTTAGGTTGTAGGAGTCTGCTTAAAGCAAGTGAAGACTCTTTGCTTCAAAGAGTATCGACAGGCCCGGACGTGAGGGAGGGGAATTCTAGTTATTACAGATACCTAAGATAATAAAGCTCCCAAGCCACAGAGACTTCTTTTAAGCCTGCATCTTGTCACCAAGTGAGATGGTGCCATCCACTGGCTCTTTTCAGTGGATCAGAGTTGGTGAAATGGTACATCTCTGTCTGATCCTTTGTTCTTCCTCTCCTGACCCTCCCAGTTAACTTCCACAGAGTTATAACCAGAGGTAAGTTACCATAAAGAGTGTCTGTATGCAGTGAAGATTGGCTCCATAATACTGACAAGATTTTTCTCATGTTTCTGTGGAAGATAGTTTTACCCCTCAGGAAAAAGAAGGGCATATACAACATTATAACAGAAGAAGCAATTAGGACAAATGTACACATCATGAAAGTCATGAAACAAAAGAGTATTCTTATAGGAGTTTAAATGTATTTCCTATGGTGATAGAAAAGGAGAGTTAACCTTTTTTATTTTATTTTTTCCTGAAAATGGTCTGGTTGAAGGCAGTCCTATCCAGAAGGAGGCAGATATGCCATGGTCATGGCCATGGCCATCCTTTGATGAAGACCCTCTAGGAACATAAGCAGTTTTAGAAGATCTGAAAATGATATTCTCCCTCCAAATTATTCAAACACTTCCCATTATCTTGTTTTAAAAAAAAAAGAATTTTTTCTGCCTCTTGAAGTTTTTTTGAAGGAGACTTGTCTTTCGTTTGTGGCCATGTGTTTTCACTCTGCCCACTGCAGTCGCCACTGCAGATGGAGTTCGGGGCAGTGGCGAGCTTCTCTCTGTAGCCGTTGGGGATGGCTGGTTTGGACTTTGCTCTTTTAGCAGTAAGATGACTAAATTTGCTTTTGACCAGAAAGACATTATGGAACATGTATGATCTGTGATGAGAGTAACCTGGTTCTATACCCAATGAGCTGCCGGTGTCTCCTCTACACACTGTCCCTTCTTCGGAGCATACAGAGACTTTTTCAGATGACGCACAGGGCAAGGGGCTGAGGATGTCCCTTTGCTGGCTCAGCTAAAGACTGGAGGAGGGGGAAGATAGGACTCCTGTCCCTTAGGTCTTGGCCTCAAGCATCACTTGCTCCTCCTAGAAGGGCGGCAGGGAGGGGGCAGAAAGCAAGATCATTATCATTATTAGCCTGTTTTCTTCTCTGCATTTATTCAGACAGATCTTAAGAGTTTAAAAGGAACATTGCCATTGACAATTGCAACTCAGTTTATTTTAAAAGTGTTGTCTTCCTTGACTCTTAATGTGAAATCTCTCTGCTTTAGCTGGTTCCTCTCATTCAAGAAAAGCAACTGGCTCCAAAGCATCAGCTTCACCACCTACTTCCTCCACCTCATCTCGTGCCAAAACTTCCAAGGAGACAGTTTCTAGCAAAACAGGGACAGTGGGAATCACAAAGGGCAAGAAAAAACCTGGCAAGCAGCCAACGTCTCGACCATCCTCAGATGCAACCACTTCTGGCACATCTGACCTTAAAGGAGAGGCTTTTGAGACCAGGGTGGAGGGTCTCAAACCCGAGCAGCCTGCCCCTGGGACCGAGGAGCTGACCACAGGCAAACCCAAGTCCGCAGTCCCCTCGCCCCCTGTGGCTCCGCCCCCTTCTCCCCCGGCGCCCCCTCTGCCTCTGGAGGAGCAGAGCTTTGTTGCTTCAGACACTCCTGTCGTCCTGGTCAGCAACGGAGCCGACCTGCCCGTCCCTGCCTTAGACCCAAGTCAACTTATCTGGACTGAAGAGCCGACAAACAGAACCACTGTCCACTCAGGCACCGGCTTAAGTGTTAGCAGAGAAAACGCAAAATGGTGAGTCGGGGCACAAACCCCACATTCCATCTGTGTCCCTGGGAGGCGGACCACTGCAGACCCCTGAGCCTCCCTGCTGGACGGGAAGGAACCTGCTTTGGTTTCCGTTATAATGCAATCTAGTGAATGTTCCGTAAGCATCTGTGTAATCCAAACACTGATTTTTTTCAGAGCCCCGCCCCAGGAAAGCTGCAGGCTGCTAGTGATAATTACACTGGTCTGATGACAGCTACACTTCAGTCTGTGGCTTTCTGGGACACGTAGAGCCTGCTTCGTCGCTGCTCAGCGGCCCCCTTTCTTTCTCCGAGACAGTTCCCTCCTCTCTTCTTAACAGTGGTTATTCTAAATCTTTACCACTTGTGTCCAGATTGCTCACCCCTCCTACCCACCTGCACTTCAACAAGTTGTTTAGCCTTCTCCTCTCCACGAAATTAAAGACCATCAGGAAAGCGCTGTTTCAAAGTCCAATTCCTTCTCCTCCAACCTTAGAGTGGCTACTTTTCTTGCTGCCTCAATTCCCTACCCAGTTCAAGTGTTATCTCTTCTGTGAAGCCTTTCAATATTCAGACAGAATTGGTTATTGCAATTACTAAACTCTGACAGTGCTTTTTTCCTGCCTATGGGACAGAACTAACCAGTATGTCTTATTTACCTCTATATCCCCAGCAACCAGTGCGGAATCTGGGATGCTGTAGGCATGCCATCGTCCAGGTGCCCACACCAGAAACCTGGAACTCATCCTAGGGTCCTCATTCTCCTTTGTCCTCTGCATCTCATCACTCACAAAGTCCTATAAATTTTCTACTTAAGGATAAAAAAAGACATATTAACTCTCCTGTCCCCCAGTTATGAAGAGAGGGCTGTCAGTATGGTAGAAGCCATTTCCAATTCTGTCTAGGGGAGGCTTGGAGCTCTTAAATCCAGCCTCTTCTATTTCTAAGAATGAAACCAAAATTCACTTTTTCCATTATTTAATTTAAGATTTCTTCTTTCAAAAAAAATCTTTGTCATGTTATACTTTAAAAATTAGTACATTAATTAAGTTGATTTGGATTAAAAGACTAAAATATCAACTTTAATTATTCAGTTTGCTACTAATATTAACCTTCATTTATTGAATACTTATTTAATGTCAGGAACTGTCAGGTATTTAATTTACATAAGTCTCCCCTGAAATACCTCTGTTTAATAGATAAGAAAACTGATGCCAAGAGAGAGAAAATAGTTTATCCAAGATCCCCCAGTTAGTAAGTGGCAGAGCCAGAACTGCAAATCCAGAGTTGCTCATCAAATTCTGTGCTCTGAGGAATTTTATAAGTTTCCAAAGCAGTTGCTTCTACTTCTTTTGCAGTTTCTTTTGTGTTTGTTTCTATCATTTTGAGCATCATCATTCAAAGGAAAGATAAATAAATATTAAGTTACAAACTCTTTTCTTTGTTTGACCTTTTAATAAATGATATGAGAAGAGATACTGAAATGAATGCTTATAGTGTCCTGAATACTTCTAGCACACAGCAGATGTCTTCATTTCGTTATTAAATATGACACTGCCATCAGTTCCCACCTTTAGAAGTGAACAGTCATTCAGCATTTCAGCATATGTTTTTTGCTTGCCTTCTGTGTGCCAGGCAGTGTACTAAGCACCAGAGGTAGAAAAGTGGGCAAAATATTATCAGTCCACTTCCAGTCCACTTCCACAGCCCCTTTAGAGAGGGCACTATATTGTGCTAAGCTCCGTGCTGCATGCTGGGGGCTTGATCTCCGAGTCCTTGCAGGATTGTCAGGCGAAAGAGGTGAGCATCTGTTCTCCATTCCCACCAGGACTGGGATCATAGGGAGTGAGTTTAGAACATCATTAGACGTCGAGGTATTTATCATAGATTTCTCCTGTCAGTCAGGGTGACTGTAATGCTTTCCTAGAAGAGGGTATAGAGGTTTTCTTCTCTGGGTAGTCCTCAAAATTAAAAATTTAAATTACAGTCCATCCCACAGGGATGGTTCTTGTTTGCTCTCGAGTTCATGAGCTTGGAATAAGTAGTCTCTCAAATTTCCTTCCAAATTCTTCCTTCCGTTTTTAAGTGGGTCTTTGAATTAGAATTTCTGGCTCTTAGTCACTTGCTTTACTTAGAACTCTCCCTCAGTTATGTTTAGTCAACGAATGTGTGAAAATTCTGTCATTTTATGAAGAGGGTTCTGTTTGGAATACAAATAGAAAAACTTTAAAGAAGACAAGTGGTCATGTATAAAAATACCTCCTCCTATTCACAAACTGCAGGGTAGTAGCTATTTGGTAGATTTCTATCCATTGGTAACTTCACAATAGCATATAATTCTTTTTTAACATTTTTTATTGATTTATAATCATTTTACAAATGTGTCAAATTCTAGTGTT